CGGGACTACTTTTGTGCCGGAGAGCTCGACGCGCCCGGGAAGGGGGTCGTCTTTTGAATTACGCCGTGGTAATTAGCGGATTCCTTAGGTCCCGCGCTTCTCGCAGCAGGTAGCCGACTGAGAATATATCACGAACTGGCGCTGCGCTAGCGCACGCCGGTCCCTGATGCGAAAATGTTTAGATTGCCGAGGACTCGCGCGATCCAAGCGAGTCCTCCTTCGAGGATCTGCTCATTTTATCATTAAAAGCCGCCGCGTTAAACCTAACGCTTTCTTGCTTGCTTTTAGGTAATTCAGAGCGGACACATTTCATCGTGTGTAAGAGTAATGTAATATAAAACATATAGGCGAAATCTAGTTACATTTTAAGTGTAGAGACGTGTATTAGCAAAAACACATTTTTTAAATTCCCTTTTAAATAATCGACTAGCGGAAATATATAAACATGTTAAAAAAAATGTCCAAATTATTTTATTGAGAAACCGATTATAATAACGTTTTGGATTTATCTTCAAGAGTTGTAACATCTTGCTGTAAAAAGAACATCACGATCGGTCAAATCTCCGATCCGGCGGTCACACGCAGCATCCGCGAGACGCAGCACAAGCGCGCCTCTTCTCATATGCAAAGCTTCCTTTATGTAAATAGGTACAAACACGTAGGATACGGCCGTGCCCCCGGTTGTCCGTCGGGGACCCTCTCATTGTCCCCGCGCGCGAAAGAGAGAGCGCTTTTAAGGCTCTCCGGGCTTTTAAGACCGCTTTACCTCGACGCCCCTCTGTCTCCCTCCCTCTCCTCCCTCCCCGTCGTCCATGGCTTTTACTACTCCGTGCAAAACCAGGGCCGTAACTCGTGACGCGGACCTCTTTCGTGGTTTTCTGAGGCACGCGAGGTCCACCTTCGTTGTAAGAGCCACCACATCCGCGCGCATCTCATTCCGCTTCTTTACCTCTCTTTGTCGCTCTGCCCCGTTGCGTGTTACGTCGTTTGTTTAACTTTGCGATTATAATTAAGTTAATTAAGGGGGATGTCGTGGAAGGGAGGAAGGTGGGCTAATTACCGGTAATTAGCGGTGTTTGAGCGGCACCTCGCGTGTCGCCGCGCTTTGTCCGCTAAGCGGCCCTCTTTTGCGCGAGCTGCAATCTCCTTCGTTCTTCATCTTCTCCGTCACTTTTGTGCGCGTGACTCTGCTTATTCTCATTTAAAAAAAATACCCGCGCCACTCTTGCACACACCGTCGCGTTGCATTGTATTTAGCCGAGAAAACACGCTATTTTTCCTCGGCTTCGTTACCATGCACGTTTATCCAATGCACGCGGTGGTGTTTTCTTCTCGTTACCGTGGCGTAACGTATTTAACTGCGTATACGTAGTTTCGAACGCGGCGATAATTGCTTCGTAGAAACGAGCCCGCAAACAAAAATTGTACTTTTTTGTTACTTCGCGCGCGCGCGGAAAATTATGCTTTTCAAAGCGGTGACTCCGATTTACATCGGATTTCCCGTTTGATGTCTCCGACACCGAAACATCCGCGTGACGGTCTTTTGCCGATTCCGTTATTATTAAATAAACACGTGCTCAACCCGTCGCTCTCGTACCGTAGAGATAGATGTACTAGGCACAGTTTGCAACGTGACAAGCTATTATGACGAGTAAACGGGTCTGCATTATTGCATTTGCAGGACAGGGTCGCGTGAACCAGCTGGGCGGTGTGTTCATCAACGGCCGTCCATTACCGAACCATATCCGCTTGAAGATCGTCGAGATGGCAGCGGCCGGCGTCAGGCCGTGCGTCATATCGAGACAGCTGAGAGTCTCACACGGTTGCGTCTCGAAAATCCTGAATCGGTATCAGGAAACGGGATCGATCAGACCAGGCGTGATCGGTGGCAGCAAGCCGCGAGTCGCCACGCCGGAAGTCGAGGCGAGGATCGAGGATCTTAGGCGGCAGAACCCTGGGATTTTCAGCTGGGAGATACGCGATAAACTGATAAAGGTCCGTTGATAAAGTTCATATCACTTCACTTTTATTTCTCTATGAAAAAATGAGAAGAATGAAACATGAAAAATAAGATAAAGCTCTTCTCTCTCTAAAGCAGAATATGTGTCGCTCTTCTCTTAATTTAAATGTAGTTGCAAAAATTTAATGTAAATAAAATACGTTGAATTCAATTTTAAAATATAAAGAATTAAAGTGTTTTTCTTTAGAGTTTATTAAAATATTAGTTTTTTTAAAATATTTCCATCGAAAAGAATAATAATTTTGGCTAAAATGTCTTAAAATTTGAGATTTAAAAGATTTAAAAGATTTTAAAGATAGAAAAATAAAAAATTTTAAATTTAAAAATAATTTTCTTATGCCATCAAGATTTAAGTAGGATGCTTACTGAAAATAATATTGCAAGAATTTTTGATTCCAGCATTCAATTTGAACGTTCTAAATAAATATTTTGATTACAACAAAATCATTTTCAGATCTGTATTTCAAACTTTTAGATACTTCACTCAGCAAAATTCCTTTTATGGATGATACTATATTATCTTAATTCTTCAAGAGCATATAACATTAATTATTACGAAAAACGCGTATGTCGCATGAAAGAAAAATTATGCTAACTGGTCCAACGCGGTTCTGCCAGCAGGACGGAGTCTGCGACAAAGCCTCGGCACCTTCCGTATCCAGCATCACGAGACTTTTACGTGGGCCAGCCAATCAGACACGTCCCGGCGATGATTTACGCAGGAATCATTCCATCGACGGCATTCTCGGTAAGCGATATAAGTAAGATCTATAATTATTCGATTATTCGTTTTACGATCAAGATTACACGATAAAAAGAACGAGATCGCCGCGCTTCTATGCCGGGAAAGATTTTTAGAATCTACATCCGTATTACGTATCTCGTCGTTTTAACACCGCATAAACCACCGGGTCGAACGTAAATGAAGCGCCCGGGGTTAATCGAGCGATAAGCGTAATTATAGCGTAGTCGTGTGTTAAGTTAATTGAGGCGAGCCGGCCGCGACGATCGTATGTGTAGCTCGCGTGCTCGAAACGCCCGATTCAAAATGCGACTCGACTTTATTTTTTCCCCATACGCGCGTAACGCGATCAGGAAGTCGTTGTCGTTTCGTTTATAAAAATCTCTCGAAAGTCGAGGATTTTTAACGCGCTTATAACTACGAGGCTCCTATATGGGAGCGATATAGGAGGTTCAATTACTGATTACGGCAAAGGATGTTATTACGCGGTCGCTTCCCGCGACGTTATCGTTTGTATTTCGTTCATTCCGCGGACGTTAGACGTTAGACACGAGTCTGCGAGAGATGCGTGTAAGCATCCGCACACGCGAGCTCTACTTGCTGAAGTATCCAGCAGTTTCGTGGGCACGCCGGGGATTGGTAGGAATATAGGTCTGGTCGGCGAGCGTAAAGGGGAATTCCTTTCTTTTTTATTTATTACCGGCGGTAAGGGGCGCGAAGAAATATTAGGCGTCCCGTGGCGCGTAGATGTGTCGAGTTTATTACCTTGTCGGGAAGATTTAGTTTTGATTAGATGTATGCCCGAGATTGCAACTTAACGCAAAAAATTCACGAAGGGTACTCGACCTGTTGCTTCCTGTTGCATTGACCAATCTTTTTACGCGTTGTGAAAGCGACTTTCATCTTCTTGACATTATTTACATCACCTCTTAGAAATATTTCAAAGAAGTGTGTCTTGCCACACCACACACACACACACACACACACACACACACACACACACACACACACACACACACGAACACACTACACACATCCAGGAAGAATTCATTTCAAGGTTCAACTAAAAAAATAGCTGGGAAATATTTTAATTATAAGCGACGACAGATTGGGTATTCTTCGTTATAAAGACAGTTTTTACATTCCAAATTAACGATTCAAATTACAAATGCTTCGATAAAAATCGCCAAATACGCATAGTACCCATAGATTTAGATCCTTTATTAGGTTCGCCACGTTTGCAGACCAGGTAAATTATGTATTATGATTCGAACAAAGGGGAGGAACAAGAAGAAAGTCAGGCGCTGTTCCCGCCGCTAATGCATCGCCGCGAAAGAGATGGAAATGAAGAAGAGGAGGAAGAAGCAGAGGAAGACGAGGTCTTTTTGAATGCGCACCTCGAACGCGTAGAACCTTCGCGTCTTTTTATTCGATCGCAGCGTGATGGTTTAGCGCTCATCGAGTCAGCGATGTATCGGATGGAATTATGACGCGGATAGCGAGGAACGGGGGACGAGGAGAGAGAGAGAGAGAGAGAGAGAGAGAGAGAGAGAGATAACTTGAGCGATTGATGCACTAATGCGATAATAACACATCATCGTAGTCGAGTAACAAATAGGGATATCTTCCTAGATGCTTCTCCCTCTGAGAATACTCGTCTAGTATTTGAGCAGACAACACACGTACATGCACACTCAATTTAATTTTCCATTCTTCTTTCGTCATACATTAATCTCTTTTTTTTTTTTAGAAGAAAATAGTAGAAATTAAATGAATGATTAAATATAAAGCGACAAAATGAGAGATAGCGGATAATCTAGTAGATCGGATGCACGATGCAATCAACGCGAGGGAACTTAAAAGGTCTCACAAATACACACTTCAATCATTTCGCCTCGCGTCCATTCATCTTCCATACACCTTTCTCCCCTCGCCGGCATGTCAGTCCCAGAATGCAAGATCACCCGGCGGTTCCGGTAGCCAGGAACACGCGCGATAAATAATCCCGCGGTCTGTCTCTCCTGTAAAAGAAATCGGGAGGAACGATCGCGGGGGGACGAGAGAGAGAGAGAGGAGGGGAGGGGGGAGAGGAGGAGG